CGTGTAGTCTGATAGAAGTTTACCAGCTTTTTAAATGTCCCTGATGATGGAGACAGCAAGGACCCCCTGAATCCTTGGGAAACTCTACCAGACTACACAGCGATACAACCCAGAAGACAGCCATCTTCGGGAGAAATGACGGTTATATTTAACGAAATTCAAGTGAATATATATTCACTCTGTGCAGAACGGTTAGGTTTGCAACAACAGATTTGTTTGAAACAAATGAACGCCAAAGAGAATCGAACAAGTCGGCTGCCATTCAGAAACAGCCAGCGTCTCCCCACGTCTACAAGCGGGCAACTTGTTCGACACACGTGAATGGCGTGTCGTCTAAAACAGGAACCGCGGGCTGTCGGCGCCAGAAGCAAATGTTACAAACGCAGGTCACGTGTCACCCGCCATTACTGAGGTTTCGGGACGCTAAGTCTAACGTATATCGACCGGTTCCAACTTCCGGTTTATATTGGTAACGACTGCGCCGGTAAAGCTCGGCTTATGTGTCGTTCTTATATCCCTCCTTCACCTGTGGGCCTCATAATTATTACGTATTTCTTGTGTCCCTCATTCGAACTATGTGTCCAGCTTCCTGACTTCAATTCTGTACCAATTCTAGTAACGCCATTTCCCCAGAACAATGGCTAACGCAAAACCGATTAGGCCATCGTTTCACACATAATTGTGTTCGAGGTTTGATCAGTAGACACAATCATTACAATTATTAAGCTGAATAATAACAAGTATTTCCTGAATATGTTCTATTAATTTCATCGATAAAACAAATTACGTTGTTTAAGGCTTTGACCGGGATGTTAAATCTTACGTGGTACCGCCTGATTCGACTTCTAATGGTTAAGTGAAGTGTTTTCTTCGCGGTACGGTCTGGATTCGTAAATATTATGAAGACGAGCTTCGGCTTCAAAGGGTTAACCAGCTGATTTTCGTAATGGTGAGGTGTAGTGTTTTCTTCGCGGTACGGACTGAATTCATAAATAATATTCAGACGATCTTCGGCTTCAAAGGGTTAAAAGTGAAACATATTTTGTATCTAGTCTTTTTAATGAAGAAACCCTTATTACGAAAATTTATTTACTAACATTATGTCAATAATTTAAACCTTCAGAGGTCGTGTATGACGATGTCACCAAGTGTGTACTACTAACATCACCGTTCCAAACGTGTTTTATGAATTAAACTACAGCAGATTTATCAAAATTCGCCAAAAATTGATTTCGGGGCACAGAAATTGATATTCTGCACTTTAAATGCGTCTCGTTCTTGTGGTCGTGCGGAAAACTGGTGGCAAAACACTCATACAAACAAAAATAAGGTCGTGTAATATCCGTCTGATTTTACCAGCGACAGGTTCCTCGTAATAAGTTTCAAGGTACATGAAGGTTCATCACCGAACTAACCAAAGCCCTCCACCGGACCCTGTCCTGGGCCAACAAAATCCAGTCTCCTTCAACTCCTATCTCCCATAGATCCCGCCTGAGATTATCCTCCCATCTACGTCAAGGTCTCCCCAGCGGTCTATTCCCCTCAGGCTTCCCAAATAGTGGACCCAACCAAACAGATGGCTTACAGAACCCGAAGGTTCATCACCAAAGCTTCCCAAATAGTGGACCCAACCAACCAGATGGCTTACGAAACCCGAAGGTTCATCACCTAATTAACCAAAGCCCTCCACCGGACCCTGTCCTGGGCCAACAAAATCCAGTCTCCTTCAACTCCTATCTCCCATAGATCCCGCCTGAGATTATCTTCCCATCTACGTCTAGGTCTCCCCAGTGGTCTCTTCCCCTCAGGCTTCCCGACCAGTACCCGGTGCACACTCTTGTCCCATCCATGCGCGCTACATGTCCCGCCCATCTCATTCTTCTCGACTTAATCACCCTGACAATATTATGGGAGGAGTACAGATTTTTAAGCCCATCATTATGCAGTTTTCTCCTAGGCCCAAATATCCTCCTCAACACCCGATTCTCAAACACCTGCAATCTGTGTTCCTCCGTCTGAGTGAGAGACCATGTTTCGCACCCATACAAAACAACAGGCAAGATTATTGTTTTGTATACTTTAATCTTCAGATTCTTAGAAATCAGACGGGAAGACAAAATATTTTGAACTGAGAAGTAGCAAGCATTTCCGGAATTTAGTCTCCTCCAAACTTCCTCATGAGTGTCATTTTCATTTGTTATTGTTTTCCCCAAATATCTGAACTTTGTCACACGAAACATAATCATCGTTTGTACAGACTTTTGTAACTGCATGTAGGTAAAGTTGTTCAACGACCATGGCAATTTTATAGGATGTGGTTGCATGCACTCAGGACGACCAACCTTACCAAAAATAACATCCCCTCCCCCGGTCAACAGACCGACTTTACAACAATAACAATTTGTATGTTAAGTAATGACTCGTAGAAAAAAATTGACAATAATAATATTACGTGAATTTTAAATTCATTGCTCTACGTCTCTTTGTAAAAAGATTCATTGGATTTTTGAAGTTCATTCTTAAGCCGTGGCTCTCAGAAGTGACCAAATGCAGCAGGTCTCATGGGAAGCCAATATATGGTACGTCAGCTCTGCCTTCTAGTGAACCAGAAGATGCACTACAGTGTTTAAAATCTCCCGTCACCCATCCCAAACATGAACCAGAAAACTTCAATCCATAACCTCCGACCGTATTTCCCTAAGGTCCGTTTTAATATTACCCTCCCATCTACTTCTAGGTCTCATTCAGAATTTTTCTTCCGAACGCGAGGTCAGAAATTGTTGAAGCATTGATTTCGTCTTGTAGTTCGTGGGCTTATCAAAACATTAAACAAAAAAGTTACGAACGACAAACTTTGCTCTGTTATTCTACGAAATATTTAGAAAAATTAAACAAACATTATCAGAATAACATCATAATATTAATTTAATGTGCGTTCTTCCACGTCTATACTACAATAAAATGTACAAATGTACTGAGCTGTAACAAACTCTACCTGACCACAATTTATTCACACTGTCCTACCTTTCTCCCGCCCTAACTTTCTTACAGAACCACGGCATAACATTCCGCGGTCGTGTCATCACGTAAAGCAACTGATCCCCTCCTACAAATCCGCAACCTCTACGACATTCACAGCGCGTGTCGAACGTCAGGAAAGACGACCATAACATTCACGTACGAATTCATGTTTTACGTTGCTTGTCAAAATAACTTATTACTTAACAACTTTCCGGGACATACCAATGTAAGTTTGGAGCCCCCTTTCAGCTCGGCGCTCTAGGCGACCGCCATGCTTACCCACCGCCAAGGCCAGCCCTGCACGAAATCGTGGTCTTTTTTTTTTTAAAAAAAAGTATCATCTCAGAACCGTTCTGGAGAAAAAATTCGAACAATAAAAAAAAATTGGCTTTTATGATTTCGTATATAACGTCATTAAAGCAAAATTAAAGAGGCCGACCAGTCTTTAAACCCGAAAGTTCCATCACCGTCAACTCAAAAACTTGACACTGGACCCTGTAAACTTCAACTATCTTTTACAAAACTGGCTCACTCCATGGCTTCCTACTCGCCCAAGCGTTAAAAAAAATACCCAGAATTGATGAACCTGAGAGTCGACAATCGTGTTCAAAAGATCCAGCCATTGATCACATACTTCTTTCAACTGGTCACGCGACCTTTCTGGTTTTCCGACAAAATCAAGAAAA